CACCAGCTAAATTCTACCTCCTTCATCTTCTGTCTTCCCGCCAAAATGACCATTTTCGTCTTATTGGTAGCTAACTCTATGCCCATATCATCCAGCTTATTTTTAATAGTGTATGCTGCAGCAGTCATTCTTTCTATAAGCATGCTTTTGCTGGGGGCACTTGTCACTGTGCCCAGTGACAAGTGCCCATCTCTTAATTCACCCAACTTTGGTCCAACACTGGGGATCTCAGTTCTGGCCATGTTACGACGACCCAGCTTTGAACCAGAGTTAGTCAATTAAGCCTTGGCCATTTTTTGGTGATTTAGACTTGGTCCAATACTGGGAAATCGAGTCTTGGCCATCTCTTAATTCACCCAACTTTGGGCCAGCACTGGGAAACTGAACACTATGTAGTTAAGCTCATTCATTAAACAGAAATTTACTCACAATAAAAAAAAATTGTTTAAAAAATATTTTTTATTTATATTTTATAATCTTGTTTGTAAACAAATGCTTGAGTCATTAAATAATATGATTTTAGTTGCACGATATTAAGAACTCACCATAGACATGTACTGTAACGTACTTGACGTGCATTTTCTGTTTGGAGCTTACCAATTTGAGGTAGACTACCAAAGTCGTCCTGATGATGGAGTATAACTCTGAAACCGATCAACAATCAGTAGACACTCACACAATTCATACAGGTGTTTAAAACTTTTTTTGTTTTGATTTTGGATCATGCTGCGATATTCTTGGAATATCTGGAACTATAATGTATGAAGTCCTCTCCTTTTATTTACGTCTTTATAAAGCTAGTCTCTTGTCAGGTATGTATGCCCTTTCTGATTCCACAAATGACGTATTTGCATCTGTTTTGGAGAGGAAATCGCCAATTCGTTTCTCTCTTCGTCGATATGTCAAAATATCTGTACTATCGACACTTTATTTTCATCTTCAAACATCAATCGTAAGTAAAAAAGGAGAATTTAAGATACTGAGATATTGCCGCTTGATTCTAATGTACTATGTAAGCAGAAGTCTCTTCAATATCATTATGTGGTAATTCTGAACGGCAATTAAATGATAATTGTTAAACTTATCACTAAATTAATGTAAACAAAGTGTTAGTCATACATTGATCCATAAGAAAGTTGAATTATCATTTTCGAATGCGATAACTATCCCGATTGACAAATATCTTAAAATGGATCGGTCGAATGGAAGATTATAAGAGACCTAAAAATTCACATTATAGAAAACTACACACACCGGAAAAGTCTAGGGATATTACAATTTTATCCAGCCATCGTCAATAATTTTATTAATTACATTTCTAATATAATAAAATTAAAATAAACAAATAGTTTACAGGACGTATTGGAAATAAAAATGCGAAATTTACCGAATTTTTCAAATTTACCTTGATTTTTATTGAACTCAAAAAAATACACACATTTTTTTTTATTCTAAACTGTGAATTAAAAGAAAAAAAGATAAAACCATTTTTACTTAATAAAGGGTATGGCCTCATCTACTGTTTATTACAGCCCTACATCGTCTCTCCATGCTCCTGATCAGGTTGTCGATCTCTTCTTGAGGTACAGCCTGCCACGCTGCATTCACGCTACCCAACCCAACCCGATCCCTACGAGTTTCACGAGGCATACCCATTTTCAAAATTCTTCTTTGGACCGCGTCCCATACGTGCTCGATGGGGTTGAGGTCAGGAGATTGTGCCGGCCAGAGTAAGATGTTTAATTGATGAGCATTGATAAACTCACTTACCACTCTGGCTGTATGAGGCCGTGCATTGTCATGCATGAGAATGAAGTTTCTCCCAAAATCATTGGCATATGGTAACACGACAGGTTCAAGAATTAAATCACGATATGTGATTCCTGTTAGAAACCTTTCAAGAAAAACGAGATCGGGTTTTCGGCCTAACTGGACTCCTCCCCAGACCATAACTGTTCTACCTTGATAAGGGTGCACTTCCTGAACATGATCCAACCGAATAAGATTTCCCGGTTCTGTCCATACCCTAAGCCTTCTCGAATCCGGATGAATTCCAAAGCGTGACTCATCCGTGAAGAGAACATTGGCCAATTGTTCATTCGACCACTGAACATGATCTTTAGCCCACAAATATCGTACCTCTCGATTTCCTCTCGTTAAGAGTTGAGCTCTCCAGGGGCGTCTGCTTCTTAAGTTGCCCTCTCTTAATCTATTGCGAACAGTGTCAGGACTAACGGTTACATTATGCGTTTCCTGGAGAATTAAACTAAGCTCTGGTGCTGTAAGAGTCGGTCGGCGCCGAGCATTTAATTGTAAAAAATGATCTTGCTGAGGGGTAGTAATGCGATGTCGCCCTGTGTGCCTTTCAGCAACATCACCACTTTCACGGTAGCGTGCACTTAATCGCGATATTACACTTTGCATTGTATTTAATGCTCTAGCTACGTCGATTTGGCGCTTTCCAGCTTCGAGCATACCCATGGCCCTTAGCATTTCGTCTCTGTTAAGATGTCCACGCTCCATAATGTCGTTTAATACTAAACAGAGTTATTTGAATGAATTCTGGCCAGTTATCATAAAAACATAGCCAGTACAGGTTAAATTCGAACAATTGATGCTAGGTGCTTTTTATACATTTGACAAAAAATGCACAAACACTTCTGCAAATATCCCAAATTTAGAAATAACTAGTGTGACTACTTCGTTTCAATCGAAGTAGACAGAATCGGCCTACAAATATGTGGTTGTTTATTCAAAACATTTATTTTTAACTTTAATAAAATGATATCCCTAGATTTTTCCGGTGTGTGTATTTCTAGAATATCTGGTGATACCGTTTTTCTGCTATTAATGTATGCGTGTATTACACTTTGACAAAATTATTCCTAATATGTAAAATAAACACAGTGGCAGTAATATGTAAAATGTGGCGAGCAATGCTTTTCTTGCTTTTCTTATCTTCAAGCCGATGGTTAAAAACAGTTTAGCTACTGCGATCAAGATTTGTTTGTAACAGTATTTCAAATACACAGGAAAAATATACTATAACACGCCACTGTTATGTTTCTTTTTTAATTTAAACTTGGAGGTGGAACAAAAATGATTTAGCGATTTAGCTATTGTTTAAATGTTCGCAAGCCTTTAACAGTACAAGATGTTTTCGAGTATATACTGTTATTTTTTACGCCCAAAAGAACACCAGCTTTTCTTTTTTACATTCCGCAGAATAATCAAATATCTACCTTCCTTGTGGAATCAATTGTGTGTGTTTTTTTATTCTTCCTTTCTGATATATCTTCCTTCTTCTCGTCACAAAACAAACAATCAACGTTTACCAGTTCAAATATTTGCCTAAATATTTTCTACATATCATCTGTCTTATTCTGAGAAGGAACGCCCCACATTAATGGAAAAAGCACTTGTTAAAATACAACAACGATTGTCCCGGACAAAGATATAAATCAAAAAAAGTAACTGTTTTTAATTTAGTTTTTTGTATGGTTCTCAGCTCTCGAGGTGTGAAAACCTTGTCTTTAATGTTAAATTTTTATCTAGAGGCACGTTTTGTATGTTTGGTTATAAGAGACAAGCCGTTTGGTCGGTGTTGTTTTTTTAAAAGGTTTGTTATTTTATCTTGGTTAGGGGTAAATTTCCTATTGTAAAGTCCTTTGTTGTTTACAGATACAGCACGCGACCAGATTTTAAAAGAAAGTGTATTGGTGTATTATTCCAGTAGATTTGAATATTTTATTTAACACTAATCATTCCAATCTAATCAGTGTTTTTGAAAAGGTAAAATCAAAAGAATATGTTTGTAATGCGCCGTGTGGACAAAAGTTTAATTTATTTAAACACAATTTATATTACACTAAGTAACAAAACAGTAACGATAAAACACTTAAAAAACTATTTACTAACTTATTTACAACTATTTATCTAAAAGGAATTTATTTGAATGAATTTTAAAAGGCGCGAGCACTACTACCGACGGTTTCTCTGTGCAGAGGGTCTACGTTTTATACCACCAGTTTAACAGTTTTCGATTAATCCATAGATCATTAGGTACATAGAGAAGATTTAGAATGTTCTCGTGTATTCGCCGCCATTCCAATGAACTTTCAATTTGTTCTCGTACATTCGATCGGCTCAGTCATTGCGGTGTCTCTTCTTTAATGCGATTCCAGAAGGTTATATGGGTGCGGGACATACTATTAGAACGGGGCTGATTTCGCCACAATAACTATGTAAATAAAGTAATGTTTATTGTTACGAATTAAAAAATTAAATCATATTTTTAAATATTAAATTGACACAATTAAAATTACTAAAACGAATCAAGCCAAAAAGTGGTTTACGACCTATTGCTATAAAAATATGTGGATAAAAGGGAACATAAGGCCAATAGTTAGCTATACGATGTTCTTTTCAAGCAGTAGATGGTACTGAGTACCTCTACACCTATCCAGAATAAATCGCAGACTAAAATAGAAACTGAGACCAGAAAAGGGCATCCAGACTGAATACAGCCACGCCAACACTAATAATGCTTACTAGGAATGTCTCAGAAAACCACGGGAGGCCTTAAATTTTTAAAGGAAGAACTACCTCCCTGCGAGTACCCTAAAAACGCAAAACTCACTGTATAGAACTCACTCAACATTAGTATATAATAATAATAATATAAAAAATTTCGAAACACAGTTTAAATGGGGCGATTATAGAGCTCCACTAGCTCTGTCCGTAGAGGCTTCATTGGTCGTTTAGCTACTTACCGTTTCCGAGATATTTGCATTTTTCGATTTTTGCAAAATTTCAACTTTAAATTGCATAAAAATAGGCTACGGGAGAGCGCATCAGTCGGCTATCCGACGGTACATAAATGGTTTCTTAGAACTGAATTGCAATCATATATAAAATAACTTAGATCATATATAAAAAATAAGTAACCTATTAAAAACGTTTCATATTGCAAATAAAAATAACAGTTTTTTTTATTCCAGATAACTCCATAATTTCCTCACTCAAATGGAATCAAAAGTACAATTGCCGACCAGCCTCAGTTCTAGCAGGGCCAAGCGTATCGCTCCCGCCATTTCCCTCACCCTATAATGATGCCATCTCGTTCTACGCCCAATCTACATCAGCCCAAGAACGTTCCAGATTACACTAGTACCGCTTTCCACCGTCTGCCGCAGAGGGCGGGCGCGGCGCCTGGCGGTGAGAGAGATGACGACTCGCCTCCGCCAGCGCCACCTGTACGCGATTCCTCCAGTCTTAAGGTGAGTACGTACGTCAAATATTGTTATACAGGGCGAGTGGAAAAAAAAATTACCGTGAATGTAATAAACAAATGTGATATGATGATGAGTTATTGTTCAGTTATTGAAAAAAGCTTTCAACATATAGTATACAGTCAATCTGGCACTTTAACTCCCATCAAATTACCTCCGCTCTCATACTTTGCCAGTAGTAAGTGGTCCACCGGAAAAGCTTAAATGCGAAAATTTGTATACCCCCACCCCACCGTTTTTTGAGAAATTAAAGATAAATTGATTCGATTTTCTGGTTAAACTGCATGTCACACAGAAAATGTTATGGAACAAAAAATGAAGAGAATTAAATTCTCCACATTTGCCTCTAAGTAACAAACCTCTAAAACCTACGGGGACAAAGTTAGAGGGCGCCAAAGTCACTCCAACGCAGTTTTTTGCATTTTTCCGGGTGAAACCATTTTTTTACTATCGCAAACTTTTTAAAATTAAAAAACATAAAAAATACCTAAATTGATTTTTTTTACATTTCACTGTTTTATCAGAAAATAGAATCCAACAAATTTTTTGTTTCTCAAAAACGCTACCTTCAGCGCACCTAAAAAAATCTCAAAACGATCAGAGAACGTTATAACTATCCTCAGTTCGAGTGAACATCGTAATCCGCAGTACTTGCAAGGTAACTTGCAGTACCCTATCTACCTTCATTGATTTCATGAAAGTTCCATACACATTTTGGGAATGAATGCAATATATCTCGTAAACAGTAAAACGTAAAAAAAGTTACACGTCAGTTTGATAGTTTTTTTTATTCTCTTTACTTTTAAAAACTTTTCGACAGTAAAAAATGGTTTCACACGAAAAAAAGCGAAAAACTGCGTTTCAGTGACTTTGGCGCCCTCTAAATTTGTCTTTGTAGGTTTTGGAAGGTTGTTACTTAGAGATGAAAATGTATGTAATGCAATTCTCTTCTTTTTTTGTTTCATAAAATTATTGTGTGACCTACGCCAGAAAATCGAATCTTTTTTTGGAGTTTTTCAAAACGGTGGGGTGAGGGGATACGGATTTTTGAATTTAAGTTTTTCCAGTCGACCACTTACAACTGGCAAAGTATGAGAGTGGGGGTAATTTTTAATAAACCTTTTTTGATGCCAGATTGACTACTAATATCCAATAACAAAAAACATCATTTTGGGATTCCTTATCTGATAACTGTGATGGCTACAAATTAAAAGAAGCTCTTTTAACTATGCAAAAGGTGGGATTAGGTAACAAAATATCAAAAAAGTTAAAAGGAACATTTGTTCCAGCATTCGATTTTACGTACCAAGTTTCATAAAAATATAGAGACTGAGAAAATATCAATTTTTCGATCAATTTCAGGACACCCTGTAGAGTCAGACTAATAATTATTAATCTTTTGATATATACGGATTTTCAAGTCAATTTTCAAGATATACTTTTACTTCTCGTATGTGATCATGATCTGTGATACTGTGAGACTAACTAACCAACTGCAAGACTATCACTCTAATTGGTTATGCTGGAAATACGCAGAAATGTGTATTACGATTACCTAAATACTGTACCCGAATTCAACAATTTTCGAATTATGAAGTTTTGATTTTGAAATGTTAAATGAAAATTTTGTAATTTCCAGACTTGATATAATCTCATTTTATGCATCATATGCTAACTTGAAAACTAATGTCAAATATTATTAAGTATGTTTCCGTAGAATGTCATCATAAAATGAAACCACACACATCGAAATTAATTAAATCGAATTGTTTAAGTGATTTTTGCCTAGAATTGAAGGAAGAACCGAAATATGCAATAATATACAGGGTGTTCTATTTAAAAATATGAAACTTTGATGTGCCACGACTTTATGATCGACCCTGTATACTTAAATTTATTACCCTCTAATAGATATTTAAAACCCTTATAATTTTTATATTTAACTTTTTGCGGTACCTCATATATTTTACCTAATAATCGTTCCCATACATAACATTCCCATACATATCAACGACCCTGTATATCATTTACACAGATTACAAATAATAGTGAGCCCAAAATTAAGTTGGACTTAATTTTGGTCCTTGGCAATATTATTTACTCTCATATTCCTATTTGCAACAAAAGTAATACATGTAAAATGCAAATATCACCTTAGAATAACAATAGCGTAATAATTTAAAGCTGTTTTTTGTCATTAGTCAATTAAGTACGGTCCTGGACACGAGAAGTTTCCCTCTTGGCCTGTGCCCGCGGCAGCAGAGACCACCTCCCGCGCCTCATCGGGAGGAGGTTCCACCAGATCCAAATCCTGGACTGATCACACCAACTATCCCAAGGAAAAGGTAGTGGCTTACACCAGGCCTTACATGAAAAGGCAACCTTCTCAGTATACTCAACAGGTGAGAATAACATATGTTGCACTTAAGAATGTTCAAATTGTTATGATGTATACAAAAGATACATAATCTTAATAACCAAATGTTAATTTAATGGTCATCACTGGGTAGATTAGATGATTTACTTTTCAGATCTATTGTGATCTTCTTCTGATCTCTAGGTTACATTCTCCGGTCCTATATCCTTTTCAAAATATCTCACAACTTGGAGACTGAATCCTCCATATAGTTCTTTCTCAATGGCCTAATACAAAGAATCGCACATTTGCCAGGCTGTTGCATTACCGTATCTATTCCATGTGTTCTCTGGTTTCTTCTTCAGGTTGGCAAAATCTGCACATGGCTTTGTCGATAAATAAATAGTTTAATATAGCTTTTGAGTATCTATCTATTAATATACAGTGTGGTCCGAACTGTATTCCGGAAACTTCGCCAGCATATTATGCAGATAAAAATAAGTAAAAAAGTTCGTATAAATGTATGTCCTAAAATGCTTAGTTTCGGAGATACAGGGCGTAGAAGTTTCATTTTTATTTCGATTTTTTCCAAATAATTTCGGAAATAACGTCAATATTTGGATGATTTTGGGATTTAGAGGATTGGAGATGATAATTTGTTTTTTTGACATGAGACATTTGATTTTGATGTCAATATGACTTACTTGTAGAGGGCGCCACTTACATATTTTCAACTGGTTTGAAGAGTGATAACTTTTCGTACGTACCTGTATAAAACTACTACCTACTGAGTAAAAAATATACATTTACGACGATTTTTATTTAAGTAGTAATGGTTCTCGAAATATTTGGAATTGTCATCATTGATATAAATTAAACATGTTGACTAAATAGTTATTAGACTAGATTATTAATATTTTTGTGCCAAAACTACAACAGAAATTGTTTTATCATCATTATTTATGTGATTAATTTAAAAAAATAAAAAATTCCCAAATTTATTATTTTAGTCAAATATCTATCTACTCAACTTCGACATCGAAATATTGACGTTGGTTCAGAAATTATTTGAAAAAAATCGAAATAAAAATGAAACTTCTGCACCTGCTACTAAACATTTTAGGACAAACATTTATACGAACTTTTTTACTTATTTTTATCTACAGAATATGCTGTCGAAGTTTCCGGAACCCTGTATAATATTCTACCCTTTTTTTAAGTCAATTTTTAGTAAACGAATGCCGCGTCCTTTTCTAATTTGAAGTTCAATAAAACACAAGTTTACTTAATCGGTAATGAGTTGTATAGAGGCCACTAGCTTTTTAATTTTAACAGCCGGGTGGTCGGGGTTCAAAGATATTAATAAAAGGGCGCCACGAGATTATACTCTATGAACTCGGCATAAAAGATGTTACTATTCAGTAGACTTTAACACTAACCTCGAACTGTTGAGTACAACTACCATGAACTTCAAATATTACTATAATTTGTTGAACTTAAGTGACTCTAACTTAACTATGAGACTAGACTGTAAATAATACTACTAAAAATAATTAAGCAATTTATTAAAATATTAAAAAGTTAATATATAAATAAAAGAGAGGAAGGGAATGTAGATGATTGAAAATGTAAATTAAATCAGAATTTAAATCAATAAGGAATAACTAAATCTACGACGTCAGACCCCCTTAGCTAACTTAGACTAGATACAGTCAGGGTGGTTTATAAATAGCAAATCTAAATCTAAACAGTCTTACTCTAATCGGTATACAATCTTGAAACAACTCGGAAGTTCCTCCGGCTGAGCTACGGTGTATAGCTATGAGGTGGCTATAGCAGGGTACAGCAGCTCGGTCACTGGAGCCCACGGATGTCAGCAGACGTACAGATGAAAGGCAAGTTGTTGAGGTTTCAAATGGTGAACATAAAAACCCTAAATAATATTGGTTATCTTAGAAAAGAGCCTCAATTATAGAACAAGGACTAGCACAACGTGTAGGAGTTAATAAAGGTAATAAAGAAGGACTAATCAAATCTGAACTTTACCTCGACGGGGGTTTATGATGTCCAACGGGTACCTCTACACGGGTAACAGGATGGAATTCTGGACTGTTCTGTGCACTACGGTCTGGATCGGTCTTCTTGCTCTACAATTATGAACAACCAAATAAGATTTAAGAAAGATAACACTCAACTAATCTTTCTACACCACGTGGGCGTGGAAAAGTCGAAAACCAGACAACAATATTCGGGGACTTCTTGGGCACGTGGAATCGGAATATCGGTCGGAAAAATTTGGCTATTTTAATCCCATTGCGGAAATTGGTCGGCGGTCCATAAAAATCATCAAAATCCAACCACGTCTCTGACCAAATGTGTTTCGGAAGCTTTAATCCTTCTTTACGAAGACCTGCTATTCACCAACAGGGAATGCTTCACGAAACGGCAGCCAGTTCTTCACGACGATATTCCGACAGTGGATACATAAGAAGTGATGCAAGGATTCGATTTCCTTCACAAAATCAGATTTCAACCGGAAATCTCCCTCCAGGATATAGATAGAGAATTACATATCTTGACTAGTCCAACTCACAAAAAGGCATAAATAAAAAACGATGTTCTAGAATATTTTCCAACAGCCATATTTCATATCCGGTCAATGAACGAACTTAACTCAGAAATTCCACAATTAAAATGAACGAATTGCACACTGCGATCCACATCAAAAATAAACGATTTAACTACGAAATTTAATCTGATAATTATAAAATTTCAATAACCAAAACAAAGGATAAATAAATCCAAAAACATCTGATTTGATCTGACAGTGACAAGTGACGGAGGTGATGATCAAAGATATAGAGAGATGGACAAAAAGCCTACTACCGCTGGTGTGCCTGGTCCAGTGACAATATCGTTGAGCTGTAGCTGTATAATATCGCGGTGTATATCGGGTTGCATAATCGTAAAATTTAAATAAAATAATATTTAACAATAAAGTTATAGTAAACATGATGCAAAAATAATAGTTATTTGCGATAATTCATGAGCTAGCACACAGAGGTCGTTGCGAGGAAATTTGACTGTTACACGAATAGATACAGAATAGATTAATACACGTCTAAAGATTGACCTCGCCAAAATTATCATCGATTGTCTTTTCCCAGCCGTCTCTATAACGCTGTTTTTTTTTCGATCATACGGTAGTACTAAAGGTATTTAACTCAGCGATAAGAAATCCGACCGATTTGAAATCACGTATTCTACAGAACAAGAAACGTATAACAATTATCTACATCGAATGGTAGAAGAACGGCCTTTTCTATGGAATTAAAGGTACGCCGATTGTAGTTAGATATCGATGCGGTATTGTCTACCTTTCCCTACCGTGGCGCTGATTATAATTACCAGTTATTAGCGGGCAATTTGTTGGATCTGCTTTGTTAATTACCCGGCAACGTACGGCGGCGGCCAGATATTTTGTAAAATTAAGTAGGGTAATTTGGTCGGCACGTTGCGACGGGCCTGGTAATGGCACCGGTTTTTTCTTCCGTTTTTCGTCTTCATTTCTTCTCCGCGTTGCTCTTCGCTCTTGTTTATTCTTCTTCTTCACTTGCGTCTACGTACCACTAGTTTACTCTGGCACCCAACAATGTTGCCGTTTGTTGTTCCTTAATTTCATGATTTTCAATTGTCAGCTGTTTACTTTAAATCATTAAGAAATGCTATTACTATTTTTGAATTCAAATATTATATTTTGTTTCTAAAAATATAAGATATATTCGTAAAAAGACTTTTTGATAAATATTTATATTTTCACTGAATTTTATTCAGTGTGAATTTTACGCTCAATAATAATCGAATTCGGGCAATGCACTAAAAAAATACGCAAATCTAGTTTTGAGTAACGAATATTTCCCAAACCAGAAAACCATTTTTAGAGCAACGCGCTTTATAAATTATTTTCCGAATATGGTGAAACATTTTAGTGGAGTGTATGTATAGACTTGCGTATCGTACTATATTTTCCTCAATTTTATTTCTCAAAAATAATCTCTCTGATTTCCTGATCATTATACAGATATAAACAGAAATTAATTATGTACAGGATATTCCATTTTCTTATGGTTTATGGGTTTTCTCGTTATGGACTTTATATGTATAGTTAAAACAGTTATAAAATACACCTTCAAAATATTTTCCAATTCTTCACAAAGGACTGATAGCAAGTTTTTCAAAGTTTCCGTATACTGACTCAAAACACGTGCACCAGCATATCCTATTAATTGAATTCTATCTATGGACTACACGGTGGCCACATAAATTGCTGAAGGCTTACCTCAGCTGAACATTGTTTCTAATTTTATCCTGTACAACTAATGAATTAACACTCTCCAACTAACCACGCTAACCAACTCGCCAAATAACTAAACCAATCCAACCAAAAAGAGTGAAACCAATGCAATCAAATCACACTATAAGCAGAAAAAAATAATCGAAAAAATTAATTTTTCGGGTTTGGGAAATATTCCTCTTCAGCAGTATTTTCAGTTGCTTTATACTGGTTCATGTTTTCTATGCTGAATATTTCTCGAGATAGTGTTTTCCACTAGTTTTGTTTTTATTCCAAAGAACAGTGCTTTGGATAGTAACCACAGAATAATTAATGCATACTACATACTTTCTTGGATTCGGAAAGCAATGATCTTTCGGTCCACTCTTTAAGCACTTCGAAATACCACAAAGTGACGGCTTGGTGATGGTAAATTTTATTTCACGCAGACCAAAAATAGAAAGAACAACGGTGGGAAATCGTACATCCTTAATAACACGCACTAACAATTATGAAACAAACTCGATAGTTTTCGATAAACACACTTCTTATTTAGAAACAGACACATCGAAAGCTAAAATTTTTCCTTGTTTACCTCTTTTACAAAACGGCGGAGGAGGAACAGGAAACAGGAAGTTTAATTACGATCTTTGTTCTTATTGGGCGAGAATATTTGAAATTAAAGTAGCGGCAATCCTTGGTGCGACCGCGGC